CTTTTATCAATGTTATCCTACTTTGAATGGCTATAGCTTATGTTTATAGCTTACTCAGAAAGCCAGATAAATTAGTGTAGTTTTGGGTCATTCTGTTCTAGTGATCAATATATTTTTTGTGCTCCAAATTGCATGTTTGAAAGCTACATAAATTTGTTTCTTTGAAAAATACAATTTGTGAGAGTTAACTAGGTTTATGGACAAATAGCTTTGATGTTTATTTGAGTCCAAATAAGCAATGATAGTTATATTGTTATAGATCCAAAATGCAAAAATTAAAAACTTCTCGGCTTATCCTAACAAAATGTTAGTAAAATAAAACATCTAAAATTTTACAAGATTTTGTGGAAGCATAGTGTGTTGTATTTCTTGTGTTTTTTAAGGTAGGTCTACTGGAAACAGCTAATGGGTTCATGCAGTGATTTATTGCCTTTAATAGAGGTGGTGGTGAGGGGGGAACCACTGCTCCAGTTGGTAAAGTACAGCAACAAAACCATACAATTAAAATGAAGGATTAAAAAGATTAACAGTTGAAACTGTTTTAAGATACCTGATGTTGAACTTTCTCGTCAATACTGCAGAAGAAAGAATGGTATTACTTGTATTTTTTCATATTTTGAAACTGTAATTAGATCTCAAATTGGTCAAGAGAGGATGGAGCTATGAGCTAAAAGTTTGTACTTGAAAAAACAAACTTGGAGCTATTCTATGAGCCGCTATGCCATGGCTAAAAAAAAAAAAGATGCAATGAGCAAAGATATTTTGATCACTCCAATACAAATACCTGACAACCATTGAATATTATGATTGTGTTCATGAAATGGAACTTAATCCTTTACTTGGATTCCATGCATGGTTTTAATAATTTGGAGAATGCAAAGTTTTATGGATAATCATCATCAGAAGTTAGAAGAGGATGACTAATTGGAGTGAATGTAAAATTCATGCACCATGCAATATTCCATCTCATGAGGTCTTTTGGAACTTTGATGACATGACAAGCCATTTTGGAGTCACTGATTGTTATCTTACTATATAGTTTTAGAACTAACCTAAGTCTCCTAAACTGGCCAAACCTGAGAGATATTGTGATGATGGCCAAAAATGCTATTAACTGTGAAGGTATCCAAATAGTGTATTGATGTGTTCTAATCATTACAGATAACAGTATATTTAATTAGCTTTAGTAATTATTGAGTATTTTTTTAAATTCTGTTTGGGTTGCTTGCTTTGATCAGAAGTTAATGATACTATAAGATTACACTGTTTATTGTTATGAAATATTTATGTTTTACAAAATAAATTACAGATCATTAGCCAAAAACACTTGTATAAAGGTTAATGAACTTAAAATCCAATAGTAACTGTTTCAGCTGAGATATTTAGATAAATAATTATTTCCTGACTTTATTTTTATTTATACAGATGCCCCATGTGTGGTCTTTTGTATCTGTTTATTTTCTTGAAAGTAAACAAATTCTACAAATGTTCAGTCTTGGATTGTGAAGGAAGTGTATAGAAACTTGACATAAGTAAATACACACACCTGAAATTCATATAGGTCATTTCATTTACATTGTTACTTGCTGTAGAAACAGGTATAGGTAAGATGACCAGACATCTCGATTTTGGCAGGGCAGTTCCAATTAGGGGATGCAAAAATGCCCGCATTGGTAGATAATAAACTTAAATGTTCTGCATTATTAAAATTAATTCTGGTAAACACTACTGTACTGTGACTGCATATACTGTCTTCATATAATATCCTTTATTTTCATATTAATGTTCAAATACATAGATAATCATATACTTATTGACGATGTAATAATATGAAATTATATTGTTTATTGTCTCATAAAACAACGTTAGGCATTAGCCATTGACTTTTATACTATGAAATCATTGAAATGTCGTATATTAGCATTCAGTATGTAGTAATATTGCTATAACTGACAAAATATGAAATTAGTTTGCTTTATTTTGGGGTAATGTCCAAAATATTTTAGGTTGTTTGAGAAAATATCCTGAAATAAGAACTGTAATAATTAGATGGTATGTATTTTTTCATAAATGTCATTCTTTTCTATTGCAACCCCCCACCCCCCAGTGGCGCAACGTAATGTCTGCAGATTTACAATGCAAGAAACCGGGTTTCGATACCCATGGTGGGCAGAGAGCAGCTAGCCCATTGTGTGGTTTTGTGCTTAACTATAAACAAAAACAAAAATTTTCTATTGCACATTTCCCAAATGCACTCCTGATTTATTAAAGAAAATGAAATACTTTTAAATTGTTACACACTATCCACACCATATTTTACCCCTCAATAATAAATTTTAGATGTACACATTATTTGAATGAATGTATCTATTTCATTAAGTAAACCAAAATTTCTGTACAATGTTACCAAAGTATCGTATTTTTCATTTACAAGTGTACAAAGTAATTTTATGTCATTTCTATAGTTTTTATTTGAGAGTATCTTCAAACAGTTATATTTCAATATGGAACATTTCTCATCAAAATTGCTAGAAAGAGAAAAATAGTGATGAGAGTTCAATTTGTAAATTAGGTGAAGGTTACGTTAACCCTTAATTAATGTGCACAATTTTATTATTGAAAGGTGTGACAAATGTGTTATTTCAGCAGCTTTCCCATTGATTATTAAGTTGTTCTATCCAGCTAAGTTTTCTTGTTTATGAAGATTTATTTACTGGACTATAGACATAAAAATTCCAACACTGCACGTACATGTAGAGAATTATAATGTAATTTTTCGTTTTCCTTACTAAACAAATATGGTTAAGAAACTGTTTATTTTACTGTTGCATAAAGTAATGGATAACATCAGTTAAAATCCTTATTTCAAACATTATTTTATAATTGATTATTAACATTTTTCATTATTTTTCAATAAGCTGAAATAAAGATATTGCAGATTAGTTGTTTTTGTTTCAATTTTTTTTTCTGTCTTCATATTTTACTGCCAAGGATAAATTCATAGCAGAGAAACATGTAAAAAATTCATAATTTAAACTTTGTGCATGGATATCTTATTAAAATCATCAGCTTTTATTCTGTACACTATGATTTTCAAGTTCACACTAATTTTGTTTTAGACAGAAGAAATTCTAAGACTTGTTTCAAGCCTTTAATTGTCTAACAAAAGCTCAGTTTGGCTGGTTTTGGTGACAGTTAACCAATGGAAATATACACATTTTAATTATATCTGACTTACTACATAAACATCTGGTTTTGTTACAATGAGATTTAGAA